TATTACCATAATACTTTAACAAAAAGTCTAAAGAGCTCGTGCTTATAAACCACATTATTCTTATTTTTAGAGATTTGAGAGAGAATTAATTAAAAAAAAAGTCAAGTTGTTTTTTTTTCTTCTCTCTTCTTTTCACGTCCTCTCTTTCTCTCTCTTGGTTAACCCTCAATCAATCTGCCTATTTTTCTCTCTTAATTTGAACACATAAATTTTGTAAGATGAGACTATTCTAAGGCTCAAAAACATGAAAAAAAAAAAAGAAAATATATATATCAAAATATAATTAAACAACACTTAAAATTTTTGTGATGGGATTATTTCAAAGCTCAAAAACGCAAATGAAAAAAAAAAAAAAAAATCTCAAATAGAATGAAATAGTGTCACGAACATGATAGATGAAGTCTTAACTTACGAGAACCTAGTATGTCAGCAGCGAGGAAGGGTGTAATGCAGGCGGAGAGACTCTTTGATTGAAAGATAAATGGTTAACTATGAGAGAGAAACAGACAGATTTTTGGAGGGTTAATCAAGAGAGAGAAAGAGACAGATTTGTTGAAAGTGTTAACCAAGAAAGAGAAAGAAAGAACGTGGAGAGAAGAGAGAAAAAAAGTTAATTTGTTTCCTTAATTGCAAATAATTTTTTTTAAATTAATTGTCTCTTCCAAATCACTAAAGATAAAAATTGTATAACTTATAAACGCAAACTTTTTGGACTTTTTGCAAGAGCCCTCTTGCAATAGCACAATACTCATTTGTAAAACTGCTCACCATACTGAGGAAGGTTCCTGTCAGAGTGACAAGTGAGTGTTTGGCTGAAGGCGAATTTGGTTGGAGTATATTTATCCTTGTAATAAAGAAGATAACTTAAATATGAAATTAAAATTACAAATAATGAAGGTTCGGTAACCAAGGATACTATTAAAATGCACAAATATATATATATTTTTTCCTAATTAAATGCACAAATATTTAATTAGTTTTGTGTGAATTAATTTGCTGCAGACACTTTTAGAGAAGTAAATATATCACCAACTGAGTTAACTCAGTGTCAATGTATGATTTTTTTTTTTTACATATTGATGTCACATTATTAATCAAAAAACTACAATTTCATAAACAATGCATTTGTGTTTCTAGGTAAAGAAGTACGTTGATAGTGGTATTGGCATTTATGTGACTACTAGTGCAAAACTGAAAATTGGATACAGTGAAAAAATAAAGAAGACGATTTTTATATAGTTTTTTTTTTTAATTTAATTTGAGAAACATTTTGCAATGTGAAAAAATAAAACAAATTATTAAACATATTTTTTTTTGTTTTTGTTTCACCTTCTTAGAAATTGAAAACAGTAAACAAAAAAAAAAAATGATAGTCGGGTTCGTCTAGTAACATTTTCGTTTTCTTTTTTTGCTATTTCAATAAATCAGAAATATAATTTTGTTTTCTTCACTGAAAAAAAAAAAATGAATGTTTATTAGCACTTGTTGCTGTCACAATTTTGAAAGTAAAAAACAATAACAGTGTTTAATAATCCATATTTGTTAGAGATGTACATAACATTTTCTAATTATTTTATTTTATTTTTAATACTTTTCATTAGTACCAAAAAGCTTTAAATATGTATGTAATTCAATTATATCATAAATATTAAATATGGATAATAAAATATAATATCCAATTTAAAATCACAAATCTTAATAATAACTAATACATATGTACAAAATAAGATATACTAGGACAAAAATACTCTCACCAATTATGTATATAAGTGCATGCATATGCATTATCTACACATTTATTATATAATACGTAGAATATATTTAACATATAGTATATTATAATAAATAAAAAATGGTAAATAATATATCTATAATATAATATAGATAGGGTATATAATAATATATTATATTTGTTGCATAATAATTTAATAATATTATATAAAATAAATAATGAATAATAAATAAATCATAAATATTTTTGTCCCAAAAAATAATTTACACTATTATATAATATATTATATTTTAAAAATATATTTTTGTTAAATAAAAAATAATTTACACAAATATATAATATAATTATATATTAAAAATATAACTTTTATTCTTGTTTAATATGTAACATTAGTATATAACATGAATAATATACATTTTATTTGAAATGAATAGTGTATATGTAATAATAATAGTGAAAATATTTTTATTTAACAATGTCGAAAACACGAAAAATACTTTTTTTATGTTTTCTTTTTTATTTACAAAAATAAAAAATATTTTCTGTTATAGAAAAATAAAAATATATTATTAAACATAATTTTTATTTTTGTTTCTGACAGTAGAAAATGTTTCGGTTACCAGATCCAACTAACCAAGTATTTCAATTACCAATGAAAATTAGTTTAAATTTGCACGCGTGTTCGTACCAAAACATTTCAGGGGCAATTTTGTGAGGGGCAATTTTGCGAGCGCGCGTGTGCGCACCGAAACATTTCGGGAAAACCTCAACTTCATCATGTACCAAAATGCAACTTCTATATAAGGTTTAGCAAAAAGTGGTTTTTAAGTTAGAATGTTTTTCTTATATACCAAAATTCAACTTCTATATATATATATATATTGATTAATAGTAATAAAAATCGAATCATATGTGTAAGCATCTAACAATTTCTTTAGATATTATATCAGGATTTTTATCACTATATAATAATTAAAATTTTATTTACTATTTATTTTTTTAAATTTTTTAGCAGACACACACACAACATTATATTTGAATTCTCAACCTTTTATTGGAGAGACTGGATCATACATCTGAACCAATGTCTTTATAGGATACTAAAATTTTGATTGCTTCAAGCTTTTTTTTTTTGGAAACAGGAACTCCCCTGTGCAAGGCCCTTTAGGAACCCACCCCAAGTTATAAACCTATGCCAGGTGCACCGGCCCCTTAACACGCGCAGCAGTCAATCGAGAGAAATAGATGGCTTGGAAAGAGTCAAATACCGGTCATGTCAAACCTGCCTCCAAGCTCCAACCATCACATCTATGCCCCCGGAGGCAACTTCAAGCTCTTTTATATACATATATATATAATTTTGATTGCTTCAAGCTCTTTTATAAATTTTGAATGTCTATTTTATATGTATAGATTTTTTTTTTTTTTTTTTTTTTTTTTTTTTTTTTTCTCTCTTACTGTAAACAAGATCCTAATTTTAGATATTTTATTTCCCTTGAATTTGTAGGTACTTGTTCATCAAGCCTTGATATAATTTGTCACCATGAAATATAGAACATAATGCTTAAAAGGGATTACTAGGTAGTAGGTATTTTAGGTTGGAGGGGTATAAAAGGAAAATAATGAGAAAAAAAAAAAAAAAATCAATCAATTTCGTTTTAAATTTAGAAAACATTTACTAGTGTTGAAGAAGCCGCCGTGACGGTATCCACCATGGTTTTTGCATCAATGACCTGAACAAAGAGACAGAATCCCGTGTGAATGTGTACAAACTTTGACTCGCTCCGATATTCATTAAATTTTCTTTATTTATCCCCTTTGAATGTAGTCTCGTGACTCATCATTATTCATCGAGTCCCACTGTCCTCTGCACTCTGCAAATTGATTAAAGCACAATAATTGAATTAGAAAAAATTAGGTCCATTTGGCATCACTTTGTTAAAAAAAAAAAACGTTTTAATTAACACATAAATAGTATTTTTGCTTTATGAGTTAACAAAAAAAAAAAAAAAGTTAAAAAATACGATTAGACACGATGTTTTGTAGTAGAAATATCAGAAATAACCGTTATGGTTTTAGGCCATAAATAATTGTCAAAATAAAAAAAAAAATTATTTTTTTGGTGTTTTGGTTTTGGACTACTATTCATAAAGTGTTTTAGAACTCTGTAAAATAAAATAAAATCGCACCAAACATACTTTTGTTACTACAATCGATACTGTAGCAGGTCAAAAATAGTAAAAACAAAATGCGGGGCCTAAGATTTCAATTTCATGCAACAAATACGATAAATTTCACATAATTTTCTTTGCTTATAAGTTTAGACACCAAATCCATGCAACCAAGCATAGTAGATTATTATTATTTTTTTTCTTCAATGCAAGAAACGTTAGAAATTTGACCTTCAAAGATTCACCGAAAACACTAACCCATTAAGTTGTCGAGATATTTGCGACCAACCAGGACATTGAAAAATATACATTTCATAAAACTGTGACAATAATCATATGAAATTACAACAATTTGACTCAATACTATGTGAATTCCATGAAGATCACTCCAAAATCATTTGATTTCCATGAGATTATGACAATTGCACTCACAATTCGGGGAACACCACAAAATTCCTAGATCCGGGTGTATCATTTAAAGTTAGTAATTGTACCACCATGGATCGCGTCCCACCCGTCTCATCAATTTTTAGTTCTTATCGTAATATCATCAATTATAAATTTAAAATTTTTTCTTTGTTGATTCAATTTCAGTTAGACTATACAAAATTTTAGATTTGATTCGACTAGCTAAGATCTAAAAACGCGTAATAAGTAAAGGGAGAGCATTCACATATTAGACGTTCCCTCTAATTTTAGGTTGTTAAATTGGAAAGGAAAAATGACCGGTTGGTTGGTGGGTAAAACTTCCGCGTCTAGCTCACCCACTTCATTTTGTAATAATAATTATTATTATTATGCCACGCCCGTGATGAGTGAATCACAAGAGCCAAATTTAAGTATCAATCAATTGATCTGACGACTGTGATTGAATCAACCAGTAGACCATGTGGCCCCAAAGGAGTCCATCAAAGATAACCTGAGCAATAGAAAAGGGGTCTCTGCAAAAGAGAAAATCAATGTGAAGTAGAGAATCTCAAGAGAGTAAACAGAGTGTGTGGATAAAGGCGAGAGAACACGTGATGAAAGCTTCAAATATATCGTCATTATATATATATATATATATATCTCCCTCCCTCCCTCTCTCTCTCTCTCTCTCTCTCTCATAAGCTGTCCCCGTTTTGTTTTAATGCAATCATTCATGTAACCAGACAAGTATCACCGTCCCCACTTCCTCCCCCTTCACTCTCTCTCTCTAAATCCACTTGCTTTCTCTCTCTATATTTTTGCATGATTTCACAGCTCCTTCATCATTCCCTCCAATTTTGCCTTTTCACAATAGCTCAAGGAGGGAGAGTAATGGAGAAGAAAGTGATGAATTTGATATTGAAATGTGTTGCCGTTTTTGCGATACTGGGTTTCTGCCACGTGGCCGCTGCGTCAACCCAGAAGAGTACCTACATCGTTCACATGGCGAAATCACAAATGCCGACTACTTTTGACGACCACACTCACTGGTACGACTCGTCTCTCAAATCGGTCTCTGACTCGGCCGAAATGCTCTACACATACAACAACGTCGTCCATGGATTCTCGACGAGATTGACGGAGGAGGAAGTTCAATCACTCCAAAATCAACCCGGGATTGTCTCTGTCTTGCCGGAGTTGAAATACGAGCTCCACACAACTCGGACACCGGAGTTCCTCGGGCTCGACAAGAGTGCCGATTTGTTCCCCGAGTCTGCCATATTGAGTGAAGTGATCGTCGGCGTTTTGGACACGGGTGTGTGGCCGGAAAGTAAGAGCTTCGACGACACCGGACTCGGACCCATTCCGAGTTCTTGGAAGGGTCAGTGCGAAGAGGGCACAAACTTCACTTTATCGAACTGTAATCGGAAGCTGATCGGTGCAAGGTACTTTTCGAAAGGCTACGAGGCGACTCTGGGTCCAATTGACGAGTCCAAGGAGTCGAAATCGCCGAGAGACGACGACGGTCACGGAACCCACACCTCCACCACGGCGGCGGGTTCGGTCGTCACCGACGCGAGCCTCTTCGGGTATGCTTCTGGGACGGCGCGTGGGATGGCGACGCGCGCGAGGGTTGCCATTTACAAGGTGTGCTGGATCGGAGGCTGTTTCAGCTCCGACATACTAATGGCAATGGAGAAGGCCATCGACGACGGCGTCAACGTCATGTCGATGTCTCTCGGTGGCGGTATGTCAGATTACAGCCGCGACAGCGTCGCCCTCGGAGCCTTCGCCGCCATGCAGAAGGGCATCCTCGTCTCGTGCTCCGCCGGGAACTCCGGACCCAGCCCGTACAGTCTCTCCAACGTGGCGCCGTGGATCACCACCGTCGGCGCCGGAACTCTGGACCGTGATTTCCCGGCGTACGTTAGCCTCGGGAACGGGATGAACTACTCGGGCGTGTCGCTCTACCGAGGCGACTCGGCGAACTCAATCCCGAGTCAAATGCTACCTTTTGTGTATGCTGGTAATGCGAGTAATTCTTCGAACGGTAATCTTTGTATGATGGACACATTGATTGGTGAAAAGGTCAAAGGTAAAATTGTGTTGTGTGACCGTGGGGTAAATGCTAGGGTTCAAAAGGGTGCTGTGGTAAAAGATGCTGGTGGGGCCGGGATGGTTTTGGCAAATACTGACGCAAATGGGGAGGAGCTGGTGGCGGACGCCCATCTGCTGCCGGCCACGGCGGTGGGTCAGAAATCCGGCGACAAGATAAAGAGTTACCTATTGTCGGATCCCAAACCAACGGCCACGATTCTTTTTGAAGGAACGAAGGTGGGGATCGAGCCATCACCGGTTGTGGCGGCCTTTAGTTCAAGAGGGCCCAACTCGATCACCCCGGAAATCTTGAAGCCCGATCTGCTCGCGCCAGGTGTCAACATCTTAGCGGGTTGGTCCGGGGCAGTGGGACCCACTGGACTAGCGGTTGACACGAGGCGCGTGGGGTTCAATATCATATCTGGCACGTCGATGTCGTGCCCGCACGTGAGCGGACTCGCGGCGCTGCTCAAGGCGGCGCATCCGGAGTGGAGCGCCGCCGCGATACGGTCAGCTCTCATGACGACAGCCTACACAACATACAAAACCGGTCAGATGATCCAGGACGTCGCCACCGGAAAGCCATCTACGCCGTTTGATCACGGAGCTGGACACGTGGACCCCGTATCAGCCCTTAATCCCGGACTGGTCTACGATATGGACGTCTCTGATTACTTGTACTTCCTCTGTGCCTTAAACTACACCGAGTCACAGATTAACACGCTTGCTAGAAATAACTTCACTTGTGATTCAAGCAAGACCTACAGTGTCAACAATCTCAACTACCCATCTTTTGCTGTGTCAATTCAAACCGCCCACATGGGCGGTGGTGGTGGCGGCGGAAGTGGTGGAGCCACCGTGGTTAAGCACGTTAGAACACTCACTAACGTGGGTTCTTCTCCAGCGACATATAAAGTTTCTATTCATTCACAATCTGACTCGGCTAAGGTTTCGGTTGAACCCGATTCGCTGAGTTTCACTGAGTTGAATGAGAAGAAATCTTACACGGTGACTTTCACAGCCGGTTCGATGCCGTCGAATACGAATAGCTTCGGCCGGATTGAGTGGTCGGACGGGAAGCACATTGTGGGAAGTCCGTTTGCTGTTAGTTGGACATGAAAAGGTTAATTATGTCCCTCACTCACTTGGACTAAGTGTGAGTGAAGTTTGATTATTGGTAATTTAAAATTTGTTAGGGCTTGTTTGTTTGCCAGCAAAAAATGGGAAGCTGGTTCTAGGGTTTGATATTGTTCTCTGCGGAAGAAGACATTGAAAAAGTCCATAAAAGTAGGAATCAAATGTTTTCTTGCTCAGTATACATTGTTATTCACAATACTCTTATGTATTTTATTAACAAAAAAATGAAAACCCCAAAAAATGAAAATTAGTCAAGAATTTCTTTGGATTTGACTTGAATATTTCATTTGATTCAATTCTGTATACATTCTTTTTATTGGGTTAAGACTATTAGCTAGTAACAGATTGGATAAAAGATCATGAATCAATTTTATTTACGGTGTATTTTTTAAATCACATTTGTGATTATATAATGGGCAATATTTATATTTTGGAAAAATAACACTCATATTTTTTTGTGTGGTATATCTAAGTAGTTAAATTTGAAAAAAATAGCAAAAAATGGTTTATGTTGTATGTGTATATAAGTCATTTAAATTTAAAAAATGAACAAAGAAAGACTTGAAGTCATTGTTAAGTTATAAAATTTCAAAAACTTTTCGTATCTTTTTCGATAATGGCTTTGTATCTTTGTATCTTTTTCGATAATGGCCTTGTATATATTACCCTCATATATGTATATATATATATATACTGAACTGATGCTGTACATATCAAGTCATCGCCGCTATTTCATTATTGGTGGTAGTGATGATAAAAAAGAAATCTAAAAAAAGAAAAGAAAAGAAAAGAAGGGTAGTTTAGTCATTTTACATTTAGTTAGTTTTTTATCTTATTTTTTATTTAGAGGGACACTTTAATCTTTTCAGCATTTAGATCCTTATGTTGTTGCTCCAAAATTAAACGTTAGGAACTTTTTAGAATGTATAAGGGGTTATACACTATATACATAACATACGAATGTTTTTCGCTTTATATATACTTTAGTCTTTTCAGCATTTAGATCCTTGTGTTGTTCTAGAATTGAACATTAGCAATTTTTAGAATGTATAAAGAGTTATACACTCTACATATATAGCACACTAATGTTTTTTGCTCGCCACCCTTATATAATTTAGTCATATTGTACTTAACTTGCAAGAGTCTATATTTGAATTTTGATTTAAAAACAATACTGTATGAATAATAATTTAGATTTCGAAAGTCAAATAATTTTAACTAATTTAACTAATTTATGTAAATGAAATTATCATCATTTACATGTTATTAATATCCGACATCAACCTACACAAAATCAATTGAATTCGTCCAACTATCCAACTCTACAACAATTTAAATCATGCATTTGGGGATGCATTTCTCTTACCATTGAAAGCAAAGCTTTGGGTTGACAAAATACTATGGTTGCCAAATTAGGTATTAGATAGTGGGCATTGTTGAGAATGGAAAAGGTGCCCCTTTTGGGCAGAGTAGTATCAAATTTGATTAGCACATGGTGGTCACACATTGGACCATGTTAGTGAGGACAATTATTGGGTTCATACCACCATGTGCCATGATTGTCATGTAAGTGTTCTCCATAAATTGTCATCACTGGTCTTTATTAATTAAACACAACAGAAACATTGGTCCACATATCTTGCTTTGGAGTTATTGTTTAACCGAAATAGTGGACTTCTAGTGCAGCAAAAACAGTTTAATACTCCATCAGTCGCATATGTCTCTGCTGTGAAATTTAATGGTTGTTTGGTTTGTAATTATGAAAATAATTTTTTATTTTAATTGTATAAAAAAATTTTAGTTTTTTTAAAATTATTTTGTAAAAATTCAATTATAAAAATGTCTATTTTTAAAGAACAATTATTTATAATTCTCTAAAATTTGTTCTCTATTTTCTGAATTTCTAAGAATTGTTTTCAGAGTTACAAATTAAGCATGCCCTGACTTTTTAAGAGAATGAATTTTAATATATTTTTTTATTATATTAATAGTGAATGAATGATCAAATATGTCCATAGTGGATCCATATGAATGATAGTATGATATCTTTTATAAGTTCAATACAAGAAGGTTAGATTGGAAATGTCACCAAAAAAAAAAAAATAGTAGTTTGACTGTTCAAATGAAACCTTTATTTTGGGACAGCCAAAATGGATATTTAGGGTCCGTTTGGCATTGGATGTATTTTAGGCGTTATGTTTTTTATTAATACCAAAGCAACGATTTTGTTGGAGTGTTTTAGGTAAAAATCAGAACCATATTTGGTAATGAAAATTTGTTTTGGGACTACTCTTCGACACAAAGTTTTTGATCACATCAGTCACCAGCCAAATATTGTCATGTATTCTCCTTCCTTGATGAAAGCTGATTGCTCCAACCCTACTATAGAAGGTAGAACAACATCTATTGGCCAAAAATTTTGAAATAACTTTATAAGTAAAAGGTTATATGGGGCTATAGGCCTATAATTCTCAATCTTGTCAATTCGAAAATTTGCTTTCATAAGGGACTTGGCACCGACATACTGTTTTGAATAAATAGAAATTAATAGGACAAGGAGCTGCACGTGGGGAAGCTTGATAGGTTGCCTTATCTGGGTCAAATTGTACAACATCCCTATGGAATACTGAACTCCATTGGGGTTGAGCTACATAGCAAGAAGTGTGATTGGGCGGCCGTTGCATGCTGATTCATTCAGTGATCGGGGGCTTGCTTCTTTCAGTATTAATGGGCGTAGGTTCAAATACTAGTGGAAACCCTTTTTGAAGAAGGTAGCGATAAACATTGTATCCCCCATTTCGCCACCAGTAATCTCTTCGGTCTTCAACAAGCAATACGGGAACAAGCCCAGATTAGGACAGTTCTTTCGCTACAATACCAAAGCACACAATATTACCAAGTGATATGGGTTTGGACAAATTTTTTTTGATAATTTATGAACTTTTCCAAACTAATATAAACCGTCTCAAATAAGATATGAATACAAATTTGAATACCGATACCCAAAAAATAATATCATAATGCATGTCAGGTCCTTCATTTGAAACAGAGGGAGTAACACACAAGGATATTGGTATTTAAGGTTGACAGAGAGTTCAAAAGTTGAACACATTTGATTGTATTTATAAGATGACACCACGATGATATCATTTTTCAATCAATTAAAATAGTTGGAAATTTATTGAATTCTCTTTGGTTTAAAGATTCTCTTTGGAGTTCTGTTAATTTATGCCAAAAACATATTAGGTAAGTTTCATACCACAGATAGATGTAAATCTCCAATTCTGTTTTTTGCAATATTCATTGTAAATCTCAAATGATGAAGGAGAAGAAAATTGATTTTTAGGCCATTTACAGTAGGGTGTGGGCTACTTGAATTAATTTTATTTTATATAAAAAATGTAATATATATATATATATATATATATATATTACCAAACAGAAATAAATATCATTAAGAACATGAGTAAAGATCCTTATGAATTACATTCAACATCCATGAATGCCAAACTTGCCACTGAATTACCATCATTTACCCAACTCATGGCACTTTGTATTGGAAATTCTCCTCAATCCAATTCTCTGAGCAATTCACTGAATTCAACCTTTCCAAAAGAAAAAAAAAAAAAAAAAAAAAAAAAAAATTCAGTGAATTCAGCTTAAATCTCCAATGTTGAAGTAAAAGATATATATATATATATATATATTTGTTTGAATTCAATATTATATACAATTTGTTTTTCATCCCATTTAATATATTTAATACTGTATTACATTTAGTGGAAAACTCTTAACACAGTTATATATATATATATATTTGTTTGAATTCAATATTATATACAATTTGTTTTTCATCCCATTTAATATATTTAATACTGTATTACATTTAGTGGAAAACTCTTAACACAGTTCATCCTATTTCATATATAATGGTGTGACTACCTAAATTATTGACTTAAAACATAAAATAAAAAATGCATACAAAAAAAAAAAAAAAACACACACACACTCTCTCTCTTTTAATAGTTAAAAAACACACACATGAGGATAAGGGGAGAATTAAATGGCAGAGGAAGCTCTCTCGAGAAAAAGTATAATTTAACACTTTTTTAGCCGCGTTTTGCGGTTTTGCTAACAGCTCATACGTGCATGACTCGTGGCAAAAACTCAAAGAAACAGAAAATGTCATGTTATATGAAGCTAGTAAAGCAACCTACATATATATATATATATTCTGTAAGTAATATTACTAGCAATCAATCAACCAGAGAGATGGAAAAGAGTAGTACTACATAGCAGACTAGGAAAGCTGGTAATGATTCAGCCGATGAGAAGGGAAAATTTGAAGGGTTACCATTAGAGAGCAGTCCGTACACGCAGTACAGGGACATGGAGGATTACAAGCTCCAGGGGTACGGTACTCAAGGCCACCAGCAACCGCAGCCCGGCCACGGCGGTGGTGCCTCCACCAATGCCCCCACCGCTTCTGCCGGCCGTGCTGCTTCTGATGCTAAGCTCTCCCCCACTGATCATCCCGTCAACCGCCAAGGTGTCCCATAATTATTTCAATATACACATATTACATATGCTTATGTCTGTGTTGTTGGGTTTATTTCCTTTTATGTGGAGGAAAGTCCAAGTAGGTTTTATTAAAACCCAAAGCCTAGCTCTTTAGGGTGAATAACCTTAAGGAATTCAGAATAAAAAGAGAGGAAGATCAGCCGTAGTTTTCACAAGAAAGAGAGAAGAAAAATGTAGGTTTTTTCTATTCTGCCCAGATTTCATCAAACGTCGGATCACGCTTCATCCGTGGTCCGATCGAGCTGAAATTTGAAGAAGAGGTTCACGACACAATGAGTTAAAATCTGAACGGTGTAGATCGGATTTTGAGCTCAGGAACAGTGATTCATACCCATGAACAATAACCAGATTTTGGTATTTTCTCTCCAATTCTCTTTGTTTTTGCCAAGATTGTTGATATCTTGATAAGATGTATTATAGCCTCTAATTGCGATTAGAGAAAACTTTGTGTACCCATTATTTGGTTGATAGTGGAGATTTTAACTGGACTAGGTCCAGTGGTTTTTGTTCCTCGCATCGGAGAAATTTTCCACGTAAAAAATTGCTTGTGTTCTTGTGGCTTGGTTTGATATTTTTTTTTTTATTTTTATTTTTTTCCTATTATTTTCAGCACATATAAAAGTAGAAATATACTATATTTGCTTGTATATAGTAGGGCTGCAAGTTGGGCTGGCCCAACCCAGCCCAGTCCCAACCCAACCTCAACCCGAATCGGGTTGGGTTGGGCTAACCCGAATTGTATTCAACATGGGTTATGATTAAAACCCAGCCCGAGTGTTTTCGGGCCGGTCGGGTCGGGTTTACGGGTTGTGTTTTTAAAAAATATATTAAAAAATAATTTTTTTTTTTGAAAATTTATATATTATATATTATATAATATATATATTTGATTATATTATTATTAAAAAACAAAAAAGTTTTAGGGCAAATCATTTCAGCCTCCCACCAGGTCGCATTCTCAACTCTCTCTCTCCCCCAACTGCAAACTACAAAATCTACCAGAATCAAAAGTTCAAAACCCATATATTTAAGATCTGATTTTGAATGGGATCAAGCTTTTTAGAGTAGGAGCAGTCAAGACCAACCTTTTTCAAGTAAATCCACATAGGCTTGTAACACATGTATGCTCTCAATGATTGTAAAACAGTTTTTTCATTGAGCATGACAATTATTTTTCCATTCGATCAGAGATCTGCTGATACACGGCTCAAATCTAAAATTTTGATGATTAATCGTCTAGCTTCAGCCCTGATTGTTGCAGGGCGGATAATCTCAGAATAATGATTGGTCTGCAAGAATCAACAGTTCAAAACCCATATCGGCATAACTTGTATGTATGGGTTTTGTTTTAATTTTTGGAAGTGACGGCGGCGGAGGCGGATTATCGGCTGAGGGCGAGGGACGACAGTGGCGGTTCAGCGGCAAAGGACGGCAGTAGAGAGAGAAAGAAGAGAGGAGAGAGAAAGGAGAAAAAAAAAAAAATTAATTTCGGGTTTTGGGTTGGGTTCGGGTTGAGCTCGAGCCCAACCCGAATATGTTTGGGTTTTGACAAAACCCAACCCGAACATGAGCCCGATTTGTGAATTGTATGTCCAAATTTCAAAATTTATGGGTTGGGGTTGGGCTGGGCTGGGTTAGCCCGCCCAAGTTGTAGCCCTAGTATATAGGGAGAAGAGTTATTCCGCTATATTTGTTTATTGTTATCTCTCCCAACAAAGTGGTATCAGAGCGCCAGGTTGACAGTTTGAGTTATGGAAGCAAATACGAGTATAATGATTAATCTCAATGGTTCAAATTATTACATATGGAAAGGAAAAATGGAGGATCTTCTTTGTGTGAAAGATTATTACCTACCGGTGTTTAGTGCTGAAAAACCAGAAAAAAGTCTGATGTGGAATGGACTTTGTTACATCGACAAGTGTGTGGGTATATCAGGCAGTGGGTAGATGATAATGTTTTGAACCATATTAGTGGAGAGACGAATGCACGTTCTCTATGGAGTAAGCTTGAACAACTATATGCTAGAAAGACTAGAAATAATAAATTGTTTCTGATTAGGCAGATGATGGCTTTGAGATACCGGGACGGGATTCCTTTATCTGATCACCTGAATACATTCCAAGGAATTATTAATCAGCTGGCTGGAATGGGTATTAAGTTTGATGATGAGATACAAGGGTTATGGTTGCTTGGTTCATTACCGGACTCATGGGAGACGCTCAGAACTTCATTGTCTAACTCCGCTCCAGAAGGTGTAATCACAATGGATATGGCCAAGAGTTGTTTGCTAAATGAAGAGATGAGAAGAAAAACACAAGGATCCTCTTCACAGTCAGAGATCTTGGTTACAGTAAAGAGGGGGAGAAGTAAGAACAGAGGTCTGAAGAACAGAGATAACAGTAGAAGCAAGTTCAACAAGTTTGCAAATGTTGAGTGTCATTATTGCGGGAAAAAAAGGGACACATCAAGAAATATTGCAGGCAATTGAAGAAAGAAAGGAAGAATGAGAAAGGGAAGGGAACTAAGAATGGAGATGACAAAGATGGTGATGACAGAGTTGCTACCACCACTCCTGCAGACTTCCTTATTGTTTATGATGATGAGATGATAAATGTTGCATACCATGAGACCAGTTGGGTGATTGACAGTGGTGCCTCTATTCATGCTACATCTCGGAAGGATTTCTTTACATCTTATAAATCTGGTGATTTTGGAACAGTAAAGATGGGCAACGATGGCTTGGTTAAAGCCATTGGAATTGGGGATGTGTATTTGAAGATGAATAATGGCACGAAGTTAGTTCTCAAAGATGTGAAGCATGTTCCTGACATTCGTTTGAATTTGATTTCTGCAGGTAAACTTGATGATGAAGGGTATTGCAGCACTTTCAGTGATGGTCAGTATAAGCTCACTAGGGGTGCTATGGTTGTGGCTCGAGGCATAAAGCACTCTGCACTGTACGTTCTGCAAGCAAAGATCTCCAACGACATTGTTAATGCGATGGAGGATAATGATACAACAGAGTTGTGGCACAAGAGACTGGCTCACATGAGTTAGAAATGATTAGCTCTACTAGGGAAGAAAAGTCTACTATGTGGACTGAAAAGTACACTTCTGAAAAGGTGTACTCATTGTTTGTCAGGGAAGCATAGCAGAGTCTCCTTCAAGAATTCCCCTAATTCGAGAAAGTCAGAGATACTGGATTTGGTACATTCAGATGTGTGTGGCCCTATGAAGACGAGAACACTTGGTGGCTCTAGATACTTTGTGACCTTCATAGATGATCATTCAAGGAAGTTGTGGGTATATACCTTGAATTTAAAAGACCAAGTGTTAGCAGTGTTCAAGCAATTTCAAGCCCTAGTTGAGAGACAGACTGGGAAGAAACTGAGATGCATTCGTATTGAAAACGATGGAGAGTATTCTGGTCCTTTTGATGAGTATTGTAGGCAGCAGGGTATCCGACATCAAAAGGCAACTCCAAAACTCCTCAGTTGAATGGCGTAGTAGAAAGGATAAACAGGATACTGGTTGAGAGAGTGAGATGTTTGCTTTCACAAGCCCAGTTGCCAAAATCCTTTTGGGGGGAGGCATTGAGCACAGTTGTTCATGTGTTGAATCTTACACCCTGTGTTCCTCTACAGTTTGATGTGCCAGACTGAGTTTGGACAGGTAAGGATGTTTCCTATAATCATCTACGTGTTTTTGGGTGCAAAGCATTTGTGCATATTCCAAAAGATGAAAGGTCAAAACTTGATGTGAAAACGTGACAATATATATTCCTTGGTTATGACCAAGATGAGTTTGGTTACAAGCTTTATGATCTAGTTGAGAAGAAAATTGTGAGAAGCAGAGATGTCGTATTTGTAGAAGATCAGACGATTCAGGATATTGAGAAAGTAGGGAAATCTATGTCTTAGCAAGGTGATATCTTGACTGATATAGATCCAGCTCCTCTGAAGAATCTGCCATCTCAGGTTGATAATGATGTTCAGGATGACCACTGGTGTACAGGTGATGTGGATGTTCCTGTAATGACTCGGTTATTTCATTCCTTTTCTTTTTCTTCAGAATTTTATGGATGAATTTTTTTCGTTGAAATTTCTTGTCTGAGTTCAGTTTCTTGTCGCTTAGTGTCGTCTCGAGTGCTCAGAAATGGTTTATGAGACTCTTTCCTTTGGATTGACAACTTCCTTTGAGGACCGAGTCATTTCCATATTTTTTGTTTTTCGACACTATTCACTTTTCGTCCTTTTCCCTGTTTTGTCATTTTCCCTATTCTGTCTTTTCCCCGTTTGTCACTTTGTTGGCGTAACCTCACTCCTTGTGTTCGGAGTTGGTTTTTGACTTCACGTGTCTTCATTCTAAGTGGTTTCCACGAAATACGTATCTTTACTTTTGTAAGAAAGTACTCTGGTTACTCCCGGTGTCCATAGGGGCATGGATGCAAAGTTCTTTGGAATTATTTTCTTTTCTTAGGATGTTTTTGGTAAATATCTTTTGAAGATATTTTATTTCAGGGGTTTTTAAGAAAATATTTTTGGAAGATATTTTCATTTTGGGGCATTAGTGCAATTAACTCTTTTTGGAGGGGCCATTTTGTAATTAATGAAAGTTATTGTAAAATACTTCGTCTGGAGCCTTGATCCTTGTACGGGATTCATTTTCACTTTTCGTCGACTCGTAAATTCTTGGAATTTCCTTCTGGTCATTTTTCTTCAGTTTTAGGGTTTCTGGCCCCGGTTGCCGACGAACTTGTTCGGGGCATATCTCTCTAATCGGAACTTGGTTTTTGACACCGTTTCTTTTGTTGTTCATATTTTCTCATTTTGAATCTTTTTCATTCACGGAGTTTTTGCCGTTTGAGCACATCTGCTCAAATTTTACTTTTCCGGACCCGGCGGGACCCGTTCGGGGCACTTTTTGAGATTTTCTATAAATAGGGGGACTTAAAATAAAAAGTCATCTTCTCCCCTCTC